GTCTTTTTTATCAGCATTAAAAATAGCTTGCGCGCGAAATTTACAATTACAATTGTAAATTACCATTGCAAAGTTTGAAACGCATTTTGAGTTCATGGGCGAGAGATTTGTTATGTGTTTTATCAATGGTCCAAATATCAGAAAATTTACTCAATTTTAAGTCCTTTAAATAGCTGCTGAAATGTAGTTTGCTTACAATTGTAAAAAAAAGTAAAATAACAGGTTTAATTAAGGAAGTTTAAGGTCTAAGGTTAGAAACTGGAAGGACAACCTTAACAATAGCTATACTACAAAAGTTGAGTAAACTAGTTCGTAAGTACAAGAATGAATAAATCTAAGTTTTGGTTAAGTTTTTCATGACGTGTCTGCAGATATAAATATGTTGTGTTTTCTGTATAGTAATTACTTTACTGTATCTTGAACGGAAGCAGATAGCTGCGGTATCGTACCGTCAGAAGTATATTTTTGGCAGATAATTGTCTTTGCTCCTTCTGTTTCTATTGTATCTTTCTCGCTCTTCAGCTGTCAGTAATTACAAAAATACAGTTGCCTCGAATATATTAGCTATATATATATAGACCAGATACAGTCTTCGAAAACGCACGCAAAAATCAGCCTAGATCCTCTATTTTGAATCTCAGCGGGAAGTTCGGTCTTATTTTTCAGCCAGTTGCGTCAGTTGAGCCCTTAATTAAAGCTATATATTTGCGTCAGTTAAGATCTTAAAGCTAGTTGGGTCAGTTAAGCCCGCTGTAGTTAAGCCATCTATTAAATTGTACATGTTTTAGTTTGTGGAAATTGTATATTTATTATTGCTATATGCAAACGTTCAAAGTAAGAACCTGCTAGTTATGTGAAGATCTAAGATCTTCTAAGACTAAGTTATTTTTGCGCGGGCCAGTTTTTTAGGAGAAACTATAATACTTTACAGATAATATCTTTCTTTCAACCACGAATTTAGGGCAAATAAAAAAAAAATACTTGGTTAGCGTCACCGCCCGCCTCTCGATTTTCTGCCGCCTCTGAATTTTTTTAAATTTTTTTTTATGTAAATCTCTTCGTTTTACAGCTTAAAACAGTTTAATATTTGAAATTTGAAAGTAGGCTTGGGTATACAAGGTTCTTAAAGCAAAATGGCGGCCTTCGCAACATCAGTACAAAAAATATCACCGATATGGTGGAAAAACCAAGTATTTTTTTTTTATTTGGCCTTAGGGTCTTGGAACTAGCCATGAATGGGCGTTATCGTAAATTATTATTGAGATCCTAAAAGAATTTCTTTTTGCTTGCGGTGTATCTTTCCATGTACTAGAAAATTGAATAAAAAATAAAATCATTTAGTTAAAAATTTAATTTGTTGTCGGCGTCAAAAGGCTTTATTGATGGGGGCACGATCTCATTAGATGAATTGTAAATTGGTTTGCTTTTGTTTTTCTGAACACACCTTGTCATAGCCATCTTTATCAGAGAGATCTTTCATTTGAAACAAATTTCCATCAACTGCCAACACACAAACTTGAGAATTCTTTAAAAATTCACTTGTTATAGATGCCAGTTCCAGCAAATTCTCTTCCGCACGTAAAACTTTAAGCCTTGGGCACAAACTTAGAGACGCAGGAATACCTTTTAACTGGTTCATGTTCATATTAAGTTCAATACATTGTAGCTTTTCACTATTTTCGGGCAGTTCTTGAATTTTATTCTCAGAAAGGTCAATAACATCAAGATGTCTAAGCTCACAGAGACATATTGGAAAAATCGTCAGTTTGTTATTTTGTATATAAATAGATTTTAAGTTCTTGAATTTTGAATATGATGATGGGATTTCTTGGATACGATTGTAGCCCAGTTGTAAATTTTCTAGTTTTTTCATTCCTGTTAGTTCGTTTGGTAGGTTACCTACAAGACAAGAAATGAAAAAAGGAGCTCATTACGGATCTAATAATGGATTGATCCGAAAAATAGATTTTGGAGAGGGGTACTTTCATCACAAATGGTACAACTGGGGGGGGGGGGGTTATTGCTGGTATCCCCCTTGAATCTTCACTAATTGTGATTCATTCCATTTTAATGATTGAAAAGAATGGATGATGGCTTGTTGAACACATAACCTACCAATTTCATTATGTTCAGCATTTAGCTGTTTCAATTCAGTAAAATTTCCCAGTGCCACAGGAATTGCAGTTAATTGATTTTTTGATAGATCCATTGTTCTCACAGTGGGAGCGAGGCTCATCACAGCTGATGGTATCTAAGGTATTTAATTGAGTTAGTTTGATGAGAACTGTCAAAATGTATTTTATACACATAAAACCTCACAACTTGTCAACAAGATGTGTTTGCAACAGACTTGTCGCAAGCTTGTCAACAAGTTGTAACAATGCTGTTATTTTATCAAGTTGCTGCAAGGTTGTCACTCACAACTTGTTGACAAATTGTTGAATTACAGGATGATAACAAATTGTTGGAACAAGTCTGTTGAGCTCAACAACCTTGTAGCAAGTTGTCAATAAACTGGGAACAAGCAGTATGAACACATCCTGTTGACAAGTTGTTGGAATGGCATTGCTACAAGCCAACTTGTGCACATGTTAGTACCAGACTGTCATATTAGAAGTGGAAAGTATGCAAATTATCGTACCCTGTATTTCGGTCGCTCCTTTGCCTGGGAGCCTTGTTCATATGAACCAACGAGATGAAATGCTATTTTCTCATAACTCATGAGAACGAGGCTTTCCGGGTCAAGGAAGGATTTGTGACGTAATTATCGGACAACGGCTATGACGTCA